ATATATTAAAAGAGGCAAAGTATAGGCGGACGGCTGGAATGGAGACAAGATGAAGACGTCTCCATCCAGGATGGAGACATGGAGAAATGCTTCCATCTAGTGGATGGAGGCATGTAGAAATGAAGTGGATGGAGGCATAACTCTATGCCTCCATCCAGTGCCTCTATCCACTTCGTCCACTTGGATGGAAGCATTTCTGCATGCCTGCATCCTGGATGGAGGTGTCTCCGTGCACGATTTTTTTTTTACAATACTACTAAGAACATTTTGTCATGGTACTAATAACATTTTTTCCTTTTGTCTGCTGATGTAGGTTTCTTTCTTGTCTTCTATTTATCCCTTCCACATGTTATGTCATAATGTTTGGCTAGCTTAAAAAAATGTAATGTCATAATGTTTGGCTAAGTTTAAAAGCAAGTTAAAGCTGAGTTGCTTCCATTTTCCATCTTTNATGTAATGTTATAATGTTTGGCTAAGCTTAAAAGTAAGTTAAAATTCAGTTGCTTCCATTTTCCATCTTTGACCTATAAAAACATATTTGTTAGAAACTTGCTTATTACTTAAAATTAAATGGTTTAAGATTTGCCAAACATGCCATGAGAAGTAATGCCGAGGATTTGATGTTAAGAATGTCGTGTTCTAATAGATGTATAAAACATTTTTTTTCGATTTTGATATTTATATGCACGTGGATATGTTAAGTGAATGATGAAATCGATCTCAGTGGGTAGGATGAAAGTTTTTTTCCTGCCCATTGGGAGCAGAAGATCAGCTTGAGGTGAATGATACAATTGGAATATTAGTTGGAGGTAGATAAAATAATTATTTTTTCTTTAAAGAAGAAGTCCACTAGAGACACGATGTCTCCGTTACACACGGAGAATTTTTTTTTACCTGATGAATATCTTTCGTCTTTACAAATGAATTTTTCTAAAATTTACATATACTTATTTTCAACATTAAACAACTAACGTGCAATGCACGTTAACCACACTAGTAATTATTTAAAAGTATGAAGAAGACTATTTTAACCTTTTTAAAAAAAATCAAATTGAAGAATGTTGGGTCTTTCATTTATGTCAAATATTAAGGGGTTGTTCTCTTTGTATTTCAGTTTTGTGTTTTAAGTTTTGAATTCATTTTGAGTTTTGAGTATCCATTTTGAGATTGTTGAAAATGTGTTATTTTTGGCATTTTTAAAACACCCAAAACGCGTTTTTAAAATTTTAACTTGATTATAACTGAAAACAGCCAAAACGACAAATTGACAAATTTGTCGTTTGTAGTTTTCTTTGTAAATTTTTAACTTATTTCCAAAAATGCGTTTTCAAAAATAGGAAAGAGAACTCATTTTCAGTGTTTTGGAAAATCAAAATAGAAAACAACTTGAAAATGGTAAAGAGAACATGCCCTAAATTCTTCCCAAAATGAAAATTGAAAACTTTCTTCTCCTCCTCTAAATTTCCAAAAATTGCCTTCTTTTTCAAATTCTCAAAACTATTCGTTCACAAATTAAAGTGGTAGACAATCAAAATTTTCTGCCTTTGTTTCTTACCTTTAAGACTCATCCCTTGATCTCTCTATCCATCTTTGTTTTCTCAACTTTGACAATCTCTAGACCACCTTCAGGTAATGTCTCTCATGCTCTTGAATCTGTATTGTGATTGCTTTTTTCTCCC